GAAAGAGTAACTTGACTACAATATTTTTGTAAAGCACAAGTCTGTGCCATGACGCGCGCATATTTGTAAGTAACGTGTTAAAAGTAACCTTATTGTACCCGGTAACGTTTTTCTGTACTAAAGTAACGACCTTGTTACATTTTAAGAGATGGAACAATGTAGCGTATTTTTGTTACTTTTTTATGAAGGAAGGAGTAAATGTATTTAGTAGGGGTGCCCGAATATTTACTATCATAATTTGAAACAAATAATGAGTGTCCGAATAATTCCATTCGACTTTCGAATTCCCTGTATTTGATTTTTCGACTAATTCGATACATCGACTGTCAGTAGTACTGGCAAACATTCGGAAGTATTAAAAAAAAAGTTTTCATATGCTGAAATAGTCTTAGAATACCTGTGTTGGGCCTAAGTCAAGTCTGCTTTTAGAAGCCTTGGTTAGCTGACCATTTTGACAGGAAGTAGTTGTTTCTGGTGTTCCTTCCTCAAACGAAACAGTAATGTCCCCAGCTTCTGGGATATGCTCGAGGGAAACCCGTAATCCGAATACGCCGCCATTCCTAATCTAAAGATTTTTAGTCGCCTGCAGTCAGCTCCGCATACCATAAGCCCATTATTGGTATTTAAATGTATTCCATGCCAAATTATCACCTAAATCGCAGCAATAATTGAACCTACCGCTTCATCCAGCCCGTCACTCCCAGCAAGTCGACTGAGGCCCTACACTCTAAGAAAAAAGGGAGGAGAAAGGTAGCAAAAGCGACTGTTCCTCCTTGTTGCGGACAAGTTGCCCAGAGAAGGGAGGAACGGCAGTTCAGATGAAAGGAAGAGGGCAAGTTCCTCCTTGTTCAGTTGGCGCAGGGGTAGAACATCGCGCTACTGACCAAGTGGTGAACGGTTCAATCCCCAGAAAAGTGGGGTTTTTGTTTGTTGTTGTTTTTTTTTTTTTTGTAAAGTTTTTTGTTTATTTTTGTTTACCAAAACACATATAAACAAACCCAGACCGATGAAAGGAAAATTAAAGTCATCATTCTCCGAGACGTTTTCCTTCTCCAGGCAGACCGGAGAAAGCTTTCGCCCTCCCGACCCATCTTCTTTCGGTTTCGTTTTTCGAGCACATCGCGCACGTTGTTTAATAAATTAATGTTGAGTTGATTGAGCTTCAGCGGCAGCGAAGGCCGCCTGTAATTCCGTCTTCTAGTCTAAATGTGCAGAACATTTCGGTTGCATTGACGTTTTTACCACTAATTTTATCAAACGAGCTAACGAAGCCGCTAGAAACAGCGAAGTTCCGGAGCAGTGCCAGCAGCGCTACATACACTGGGTAAGACGGCCGTCTCCAATTTGCGGGACACACGCGGAACTACAGCAGCGAAACCACGAGGAGCTATGTCGACGTTTTCGACGTTTTCGACGTTATGGAAATCGCGGGAACTGCGTCCAAGGAAGGCAGGTTTTCCTGCCGGCTGCCTGGGTGCCTTCCGCGCTGAGCTCGGTTCCGTTGTCCCGTGCCGAGTGCCAACCGGCGTTCAACGTGATTCTTCTGCGTGTCAGCAACATCGTCAACGTGGTTCTGTATTTCTTCGTGTCAGCGACATTGTGATGGCAGTGTTGTGGGTTGTGAACAGAAGACTGGAATTATCGCCGATGTGACCGTGTGTTCGCGTATCAGTGGTGTAACAACAAGATGAGATGACGTAAACTGTCGGGCATTGATGCCGCTGGTCGGGCCGTTTTCGGAGGGGCCGGGGTGTCGCAGGATGACATTCCGCTTTACATTAAAGAGTTTAAAACCACTTGAGAGATTAGGTGCAGTCAATCGACGTGTGGATAGTCATGTTGGAACGCTGGTCTGAACGGTAAGCTCCTATCGTACAGTGGCCAATGTGACTGTCGGTCCCCGAGAGCGATTGCGCTCTGGGGAAAAGGCAACACTACGAAAGTATGACGGAAAGTACGTATATTTATAATGGAAGTTTAGCATAAAAAAAAAAGACAGGCAAAATCGAAAAAAAAACAAAAAACGCTATCCTTTAATTTAGTGTTTAAATATATTACGGTTCCTGTAGAAACTGCCCTCTAAGTGGCGCGCTGGGATGAGCGCTAGAAGTTTTCGAGCTCGCAACGGCGCAGCTCCGTACACAGTTGTCGCAAGTCGCGGCTTTGACTGCATTCAAGTTGATTGAAAAGCGATTTCTGTGCCCGTGAAGCATCACTTCCAGCTGAGTGGATATCCGCTCTACACAGATTAATTCAAGACGGCAATTGCAGCTTTGCGCGAACAGCACAAATAGAAAAACGAACACTACAATATAAATACTGGCTACGAAGGGCCGTGCGGGAAAACAAACTCATGGCTTGGAACCACATTGGAGCGGCTCGATTTATTGGCTTTCAAATAATTATGGCATGATCGAGCGTCCTCTTTTTAATAAGAGATTCATCCCCTGAGCCATTAAAAATAGCCTCAGATGTATGACATTGCTGAAAAAAAATGAACATGTTCGGAATATTTTTTTTTGCTTAGGGAGTCACCGAAAAATTCCGTACGTTCAAAACTACCACTATAAAAGACGGAAACGCAGGGTTCCGTAGTAGTGATCGGGGTAGTGTGCTGTTGTATTGATGATTGTATGTGCGATGCGTGTGTACGCGTTCAATATATGTTGACCTGATGTTTGTAGTGTGCGCAACGTGTTAGAGATTCCGTAGAAAAGGCCACGCAATTGTGGCGTAAGGAAATAAAAATATTTTTTTGTAAAACATGAATTGGGCGGTACCTAGCGCCACCTAGCCTAGCTACGTGCGATTACTCTGCTTGACCCTGCCATCTGGTGGCAAGCGATTTAACATCCTTTTACGCTACGCGGCTACGCCATAATTTCGTGTTACCGTGCTGAGATAAGCCAAGAGGTTGCTTCGGATTTGCTTTTTTTTTGAGAGCGGCTTTTGGTTTTGTGGGCGAATGATTTTCACTCCTCCGTGATGTGCGGTTGACGCAACGGTTGACGAAGGAATTGTGGCTCGAGGAATAGCAAAGGTAGGACATAAAGTGCGCGAACTGAGTGCCGGTTGTCTCCGTTGAACATCGCAGTGCTGACGATGAGAAGACTGAGTGACTGCATGCTTTCGAAACGTAAGTTTCTTTACCTGCAGGGTTAAAGAAACTTCGGAAATAAATACAGTTCGCGGAAAGCTCGTGTTACGTTTTTATTTCCTGCTCCTCTCGCTTCGTGCAATAGACTTAGTGTTCTCGTTAAGCCTTACCGAGCTGGATTTGCTCGATTCGTGGCCGCCATAATGAGATGCAGTCGACGGAGGAACTTTTCCTCCCCTGCTTAAGGGACGAAAGTTTCTCCCTTTCTGAAGGAACATATGTGTCAAGAGCGTTCCTCCCTTTAGGGAGGACTATACTGACCCTTTTTTCTAAGAGTGTAGGGCTAGGTGACGCAAGTGGTCACTCGATTTAAACGTTCAGTCACATCCATTCATTTATCACGCACACTGCATATTCACATGTGGATGAGTGGATGCATCAGTCAGCTGTTTGATAAGTTTGTTGCTAAAGTGTGGTCTTCAACGCTCTTTTTATCTGTGCTTATCTTTCTTTTTCTTCTGCAAAAAAATAAACACGTAGGTCTTCTTTTTCCTTAGGTATGCGGGCTTTTATGAACGTTACGAATACAATTTGTGGCGTTCACGCTCGATTCGATATTCGATTTTACTATTCCGACACCTCTAGTATGTAGTTTCTTCAGGAGGGAAACGTGTAGAACACAATGAACCAACCTAGTCTTTAGTCCAGCTCGCTCCTGTAATTTGCACTATGAGAAGACGCTAGATAGACCATAAAATGATGAGAATAATCGTAATCGTAATTGTAATCTTTATTTGCTTAGGAGAGCCGTGGCACCGCGGAAAGGCGACAGCCCGTACCATGGAGGCCCGCGGTGCCACGTCTAGTGATGATGATTATGAGATGATATATACAAGGGGGGGAGGACGACGCGGCCTTCTCAACATCGCAAGCAGCGTTGCTTTGGGGTTTGCCAAGACACTTCTACCAGCTGTAAGAAGTGCCTGGGCGAACGGTGATGTCCGGAGGCTTCACTGTGCGGTGGGAAAGCCTTGGCAGTTTGATGGTGTTGAGGACGACGTGCTCTTCTGATCCGCCGTCTTGGAGGTTCGGCGGCGGTACAGGCCAGTAGGCAAGCGAGCCAAGGTGACCTTCGGTAGGCAGTTCAGTGGACCTTCTGGATGGTAAAGCCCTGGAGATTGATGGTGCGCTCGCTCGCTTCGTTGAAGGCAGCGGCTCCAGGCGGTGGCCCAGTCAAAGTAGACTGCTGCCACCCCCGATGCATTGACGTCCAGGGCTAGAACGTAGCGCCCCGGTCACCCGGTATAGCTTCCTGGCATCGTCGTCGTCGTCATCGTCATCTCCGAAGGAACGACGTTAAAAAGCGGAGAATTAGCAACAACGAAAACATATTAAAATCGCCTACTGTTTCATAAGAACGACACAAAGTAACGAGAAACTCCCGCGCTGCTTTCAAGCAGAGCTAACACATTTCTTTTGAATCGCACGAAAAGGTAACATACTTATACTCGTTGTCTGATCAAGAAAAAAAAAGCAAGTTTAGCATATTATTCATTGGTATTGGTATTGGTATTTATTTGCGCTCGTGAACGCAGGCGTCACAGAAAGGCGTGTAGCCCGTACAATAATGCCTGTGAGGCCCGTCTAGAGGGGGTGATTATGTTAGTGATTAATGAACAGTGAGGTATAATGAAGGGCGGGGCAGTGATGCACCGTGAGGGATGGGGCAGGGTTATGCGTGTGATCGCAGGTGTGCTCCAGCCTCGCGACAAAGTTCCAGTATTTCCGGTTTGTCACTCTTGAACATGCTGACAATTCTTGGTGGCAATGAACGCCATAGTTGTACAGCGCGGACGAGGCATGAGTTCGCGTGGCGCTCAGTTCTTGCAAGCAGGGGCTCCAGATGACCGGTACGGTGGTTCCTGCGTGGGACTCTGATCAGGTAATCATCTTGGGGTATCCCTGGCCCAATGATGGTTGCTAAAAGTCTCAGGGTGGCCATGTCTCTCCTGGTAGCGAGGCTTGTCCATCCTGAGGTTCTGAGTAGCTGGCTCGTCGAAATGTCGCTTGGTTGGAGACGAGGGATCGGGGAACTCCGGGCGTAGACCCCGTATGCGGCTTTCCGCTGGATCCGCTCCAGAATGTCTTGTGTTGACGTGGATCGAGGGGACCAGATGGGTGAACAATATTCTAGGATGGGCAGAACAAGGGCGGTGTATAGTTTCGCCTTCACGATGGGTCCTAGGCCCCTGCTGATATTTTGTATGAACCCCAGCAGACGGCGGGAACGCGATGCAATGAAAGGAACATGGTTTGAGAAGGTTAATTTCATTTCATTTCATTTATTATACTCTCAGGGCCCGAAGGCATTACAGAGAGGAGTGGAAATATATACATCAATATAAGGTAAACAATAAAAACAAAACGCAAAAAACAAACAAGCACAAGGTACAGAATCGCTATGGAACATTGTTAAGAACATCAGTTATGGCGGTTTTAAAATCAGCAGCGTCAGTAAGTGAGACTACGGATGCGGGAAGGCGGTTCCAGTCGACGGAGGTCAGAGGTAGGAAGGAGGCATAAAAGGTGGAAGTGATGCAGTAGGGGATTCCTACTTTTAGTGGATGATCGGTGCGCGGCGATATGTATGATGGTTCTGAAATTAATGAGGCTCGAAGTGCTGGGTTAGAGTGATACATTTTGTGAAATAAGCAGAGGCGAGCTATTTTTCTACGAAAGGAGAGATTGGGCAAATGTAGAGACGCTTTCATGGAGGTGACGCTGGCTGTACGGTGATAGTTAGAAAGTATAAAACGTGCGGAGCGATTTTGAATGGATTCAATGGATGATGCTAGGGATACGCCAGGGTTCCAGATAGAGCCTGCATACTCAAGCTTGGTGCGCACTAAAGTTTTATATAGGAGAAGTTTAAGTGAAACAGGGGCAAGGGAAAAGTTTCTTCTGAGATAGCCTAATAACCGATTAGCGTTGTTAGTGATATAGTCGACATGGATGTTCCAGGAGAGATCGTTAGTTATATGAACACCGAGATATTTATAGGTTGACACAGAAAGCAAGGTGGAGTTATTAATACAGTAGGAGGGACAAGTGTTATTTTGACGGGACACTCTCATAGATTTACATTTAAAGGTGTTAAGTTCCATAAGCCAATTATCGCACCAGCGGGTGACGTTGTTAATATCGGTCTGAAGAGCAGATATGTCAGAGTCGTTAATGATTTCCTTATAAATTACACAGTCATCAGCGAATAGGCTAATAGAAGAAGATACATGCGTGGGAAGATCGTTAATATATATAAGAAATAGAAGTGGTCCTAATTACGGAACCTTGTGGGACACCGGACTTGACAGGTGAAGTTATCGAAGAATCGGGTGTCCAGAGTCACTCCAAGTATCTTGACGTTGTCACTGCGGTTGATAACTTCGTCGTTGATCCTCAAGAGGGGAAGGGGGCATGGCACCTTTCTCTGGGTTGTGAAATACACTGATTTAGATTTAGAGGCGCTAAGGGGTAGTTTGTTTACGGTGGTCCATATGTGTACCCTGTCAAGGTCCTGCTGAAGGTCATCATAATCTTTAGTTGACTTAATCGGTTTAACAAGTGTGAGGTCATCGGCATACAGTACATGAGTTGAGCTTATATGGGGAATAAGATCGTTGATGAACAAGGAGAAAAGTGTAGGGCCAAGAACACTGCCTTGTGGGATTCATGCTCTGCACAAAGTAGTCATTACGAGGTAAGTTTGCCGGAGAAAGTAACTATATATGTTTTCGGCTTTAGACACCCATTCGCCTCGATAAAATAACGGCCCCCCAGAAATATATTATTTCGCCACATAAAGGAATAAATCAGTAATGCTCCGAGAGAAGCAGGACTCCATTACTGCGGTTCTTGAGGCGAATACGGGTAGAGTAGTTACTTCTTGAGCGAATAACAAGTGAAGGTATTTAGGTGCGGTATCTGAGTAACGTGTATCCATGTCTGAGTGGATACCTGACCGCTGGAACTGAGCAGCGGCCCCCGCGGTCCCTTGGGCCTCGTGCGCAGGTGAACCAGCTGGGTGGCGTGTTCGTCAACGGTCGTCCTCTTCCCAACGGCGTGCGCCTGCGCATCGTGGAGCTCGCCCAGCTCGGGGTGCGCCCGTGCGACATCTCGAGGCAGCTGCGCGTCTCCCACGGCTGCGTGTCCAAGATCCTGGCACGGTTCCACGAGACCGGATCCATCCTGCCCGGCGCCATCGGTGGGAGCAAGCCCAGGGTCACCACGCCCAAGGCGAGCACAGCCCCCGCTAACTCGTCGCTCGTATAAGAGGATCGGTGGCCGATTGTGTTAGCGCACCGCGGCTCAGAGAACAGGCGGAGCGAAGGCTCGCGCTGCAGAACCTCGGAATGCGGGGCTCAATCTTTACCTCTTCTCGCTTCATCTGAATGAGCATTGTACAGCGGCGAGCGGTCGTGTATCACTACTGCGCGGTGCACACGTTCAGTCACGGGCACTAATGCATCATACACAAGACAGTATACGGACACTTCCTGAGAAGTGTTTTTTCCTCTTATCACGCCCCATTGGTCATACAAAAACCGTCTACAGACGTGTTCTAAGAATGCTCACGAATAAAGCACACATGCTTTGAACATGCAACGGATAATTTTGCCGTCATGTCTGCAGTGTGTATTTTGTTTGATGTATGGACTGTCTAGCGGCGGTACTGCGCTGCTCAAATTTCTTATATCGACAAAAACCCCGAGACTGGGTCAAAAAACAAAAAAAAAAGAAAAAGGGACGGACAAACACAAAGTTTCTTTTTGAGACTTTGTGTTTGTCCGTCCCTTCTTGACCCAGTCTCGGGGTTTTTGTCGAAATGTTTAACCACCACCAGCTCGTTTGCGCCCTTACCTTTTGTTCAAGTTTCTTATCTACAGCGTGAACCAGTGCCCTGTTGTGCCACGAGGCAGGCCACCCTTACGCTGTCCTAACACGAACGTCGATTCCTTTTGCCACGCGTTGCGTCGCTCCGGCACGCTGGTGAAGCACTCAGGGCTGTGCAATTGCGTCAAGCCCACAAGTCGTGGTGACGGGTCTTGACTGCGCCGGCGCCTCGAAGCGTTATCAAAGACAGAAAGCTCGACCTGGATCTATCGCCTTCCTAACCTGTCACCGACTGCTAGTGCCGAGATGTTTCAGTGCCGCCCTCTTACGGTTTCAGACCGGTATTTTCCTCGCCGTGACGCCACGAGTTGTGCTATCTTGACTACTTATCGTGAGTCGCGAACTATGAGTTCGATGGCATGTGTAAAAATGCCGATAGAAGTTCGGACTCACCACGTTCTTAAACAGACATCCATGAAAGAAAAATGCATCCAGATAAAGACGTCACAGGGAGCGTTTGGCCACTCGCGCATTGCAACCACAGCGACGCTTTTGGTCGCGCACGTCGCTAATAGTGAGGTCACGAACCTTGGCCGAACCCGAAGTTCGACTGGTTCGACAAACTTTCAAACTTTTGGCAAAATTCGACGAAGTTCTACGGCCTCAAAATACTTCCTAAGTTCAACGCGAAAGTTTGAACTTTCTGAACACAAGTATATGAAGAGCTTGTAAGGAATTATACGCTTCTAAGACATATTAGCCCTTGTTTTCACAATGTGAAAGCAGACTTATCTACGTGTACTCCTTGTCTCCGCCAGGCAGCCTTAGCTCGTTCCGCGCATACGCGTAGTAGTCTAAGTTCAGTCGAACGTCTGTCAAACTTCGTGTCAAAAGTTTAAAAAAGTTGACCCTGATGGAACTCACTCGGGTCTCGGCAGGCTCGCAACATCCGTAGTTGTAACCATGATGTGACTTTTTTTTTTTTCTATCCGATTTGTGCTACACTAGAGTATAAACAAGATTTACACTTTTCAAAGTAAGACTATGTGGGGTTGTTAGTAAGCGCTCTTTTTAGGATGGTATCTTATCTGGACGCGCCTTGTGACGTCTCTCATCCGGGAATGTTTAAGAATATGTGTGTGAGTGTCCCTCTGAAATCCTGTCCATGTACCTCACTAGTAGGACTGATTGAATGGAGCTTATTAAAGATTAATCAGGGTCATGGTCCAAGACTCCTGCTAGGATAGACATCAACATTTGAACAACCCCGGCACCGAGAACCGAGTTTAGAGAGCGCGAGAGAAGCCCGCGACGACGATCCAGTCTCTGCTCTCGAAGACTCATGAAACGCCCTCCTCTAGTGCTTCACAAAAACGGTTCGAAGGCAAGAAGACAGTCTTCTCGCAGACATTGCCGGAATATTTATATGCTCACAGTGTCCTTGTACAAATCTTGGTGCAACAACTCCGCAGACTTCTCTACAGCTATTGATTCATCTCCCGTTGATGTCAAACCCCTCGTCCTTCTTTAAATACTGACTTTGCCAACACCTGCTGTAAGACGAGGCCGTAGTGTTCTATTTTCCCCGTTACCCAGCGCAGGTGATAGCGCAACACAGGTTGCTGCGTCAATGTTCGGCTGGGACGTTAACTTCATCAGCGTCCCAACGCATGACGCAGCACTCGTGTCGGATAGGTGACGTCAAAACTCCAAAAGCCTTGTCATCAAGGAGGAGATGTTGGTCTTGCTTTAATCATCGCCTGCCATAAGTGAGATAGGGGCAGCGTTACCAGCTGGGAAAGGGGTAGTGACACAAGCTTCCGTCGAATTTCACCAGAGTTTACCAAATAATAAAATTGAAAAAAAAAGAAAACGCATAGATAAGATAAAACATTCATATCCGGAACACGTGTTCTAGGAGCGACCTAGATTAACCTCATCAGTTTCAGACTTCAGGTACATGTGCGCGTTTCTCAAGGTGTTAAACAGGACAAATCTACCATAAAATGAACGGGATCAGCGAAGCGCGTGTCGTCATGCTTATTGCAATGTCCGTCAAAAGAGAAACAAAGAACAATTTGTGCGCATAATTATTGCACTGCGCAAAATAGCTTTTTTTTTTTTTTTTTTTTTTGCAAGATTTTGTTTTTGGATACGGAAATATATTTTTTGATATTGAAACATGTACGTTTTTTTATAAAGTAAGAAAAGAAACATCACGTGTACTCTCTGGTGGATTGATTTCCTATATTTCTCGATCGGGCCTTTTCAAGGTGTGAAACGGCTCTAGATCAGTCGAGCGGCCGCTTGTGGCACCGAGCGATGGCTACTTTATTGCGGCGCCTGTAGCGCTTTCAGCTGTTTCGCGTCTAGAGGCAGTGTTCCCCAGATTTCACCAGATTTTGTTTTGGTATTAAAACTTGGGTTTTGGCTAGTTTATCCATTACTGAATAAAAGGTTGAAAAGCGTGAACAAACGGGGACAATGAACAAACACAGACGACACGACAGGCGCTTCTTTTTCGAAGCGCCGGTCCTGTCGTCCATGTGTCTTCATTGTTCCCGTTTGTGCGCGCTATTTCATATTTTTTTTTCAGTTTTGTTTTCGTATTGTGGTTTGCTAACCAGGACACCAAGGGCTCAAGCATTTAACCAGATTTTCAAGATATGATAACGAATTTCACCGCCCGGCCACACCGCCCACGTACGCTAAACACCAAAGTTAAGGGCCATGTTTCCAAACATTCATGTAAAAAAAAAATAAAAAAAAATCTACGTTGTTTTTGATCACTGATCAGCTTAATGGCCCCGTCGCCCTTAGCCGGACCGTGATGTAATAACGAGCTCAACAATTTACGAGGAAAATATTTTATTTTTTATTTGCCTATGTATTTTTGTGTCAGGCCACCGATGTATTAAAGTTTGGAGGAAGGAATTCAAAACCACAAGGAGACAACTTATGCAATTTGTGTACAACAGGGGACTGATAGAAAAGAATATTTGCACCAATCTGAGTGCAGTCAACGATTGACGTAATCGATAAATATATTTAAGTCCTTGGAAGAAAATGATCGCATTAACATCGTTACATCAACCACGGTGAGACCGATGTGGCGATGATCGAGACCACGGTAAAGCCCAAGGCCAATTTTATCTTCGGCATGGACTCAAATAACGGTCTTTCAGCCCTAACCGCTGACGTCCGCTCCGGAAGTGCACTATCAAAAGAATGCACGATTCTGAACACTCTCCTCAAGATTTTTATCGAGAGGCGCGAAAAGGGTCTTGTTCCTGCACGGCAGTTCTGAATATAAAAAAAAAAAATGTGTTTGAAGGAGCTGCGGTACATCTCTCTTTCTATCTCGTTGTTCTTTTCTTTTGCACCAGTTTTAGTTTTTCGTGCAAAACTCGAACGTGTGACACAACCATTGACCACCGGGAGAGCATTTTAGAAAACAAAATGATTCCGAGTCAAGCTTTTGGAACGTGTGATAGGGTATTCATGCGCTAGAAATTCCAGGAAAAAGAAGAAAAAAAAATTCTGACTCTTGCAATGCCTCTCTCTATTTATTCTCTTTTTATTTCTCTTAGCCGCTTTGGCCCTGGTTGCACCACACTACGTCACTGCCCTTTGAAGCTGCTAACGTACTTTGAAACACGAACAGCAGAACATCGATCGCTGTTTCTACTTTCTTGCATGCGTGACACGGCAGCAACCGCTGAAACCGCCCTTTGCCTTTGCTCTACATTTTCCAAACAATTTCCACACAGACGGAAACATTTCCTTTTCCACTAGTTTCATGACTCTCACAAAGACCCGGAATGGACATATGGGTGAGTTGGTAGGAGTTTATAGTAAAAAACAGCGCGACTAGGACGAGGACGCAGATGATCCTTCGTTCTTTTCTAACATTATTTTCCAAGATTCTTAGAAACCTAAGAAATCTTTCTAAGATTTCTAAGATCATTTTCTAGCGAGATTAAAAGAAAGAAGTGTTTGAAGATCATGTCGTGCCCGGGCCTGCGCGAGCATCAGCGTCAATTTCGTGTTTCTGTTCTAATCAGATTTCAGCTGCTAGTCAGCGATTGTCCACTGTCTCTCGCCTCCTCCTCGTCCCAGTGGCGCTGTTCTTCGCCATCAAGACCGGGAAACAGAGAATGTGTGGCGAACGAGCTGGGCTCATGCCATGTGTGTATGTGTGTGTGACGTAGCCTGACGTCACGAAGTCGCATGTCTGTTGCTTCGCACGTCACCAAGGTGACACGTGACGTAGCGGTGTCACATGCCATTATGTCGCGTGACGTCACAGTCCTTCGTCACGGTTCTTCGTGAAAGATCTTCGTGACGGTTCTTCATGCTGGACAAAGAATTCGGCTGGTGAAACAGAGAGCTTTCGCGCATGC